CTGGGTCAGACAGCCAGCCTTTCAGTCCAAGCTATTGCAATAAATGGCTCCCCTGTGTCCATCCCTGTACCTTTCCAATTCTCCACCTAACAGCCAGAGTGAGCTTCTTAAAACATACACTGGATCATGTTACTCTCTGGCTTAAACTCTTCAATGGCTTCCATCTCACCCAGAAAAAAAACACAAAGCCCTTATATCCCCCACCCCAGGTATGACCTTATCTAGCAAATCATCCCATGGTTGTCTTTCCTTTATTAGGGATTGGTTTCACTCTGTACTAGATAGATCCTTTTCCTGCAGCTAGTCATCTTGAAAACAGAGGCAACTGAATACTGAGAATATTGAGAGTAAGTGGCTGAACAGGAGTATTTCTATCTGCTAAAAATCAACTAACCAACAAAAAAGAGTACTGTTGGTAATACTCCAGTAATCAATGTACAACAACTAACAGTATCAACCTATAAGCTCAGGTATTCCAAGGATATACTTTATTCATTATTCTATAATTCATTATTTTATATCTAGAGCAATGCAGTCTCAGAGAACTTTCTGAGGTGATGGAAATGTCCCATATTGGCACTGTCAAATGTTGTGGACATATGCCCTTGGACAGCACAGACCCTGAGCCCCCATTCTTTTCAGAGGTAGAAAACATAATCAATGCTTAGCAAATTCTGTCAAAGCAAGGACTTCTCAGTCAGTTCAGGGGACCCACACCCCTTCTTTATGCCCCCAGTCGCACCTAAGTTTTACAAGGTTCCTTGAAAGTCTCTTATTCTCAACCTCCAGCTGTCATTTTCTAAATTTCTGAGTGCTTATTTGGTCTCTGGTCTTTGATCATTGGTCTCACAGCTACTGTATCTTCTGGCTGGCTGGTCAACCTGTATTATTTGTGACCTCGTAGTATGTGTGTGTGCATTTGGGTGTGATAGGTGAATGTGCATTTGCTTTAATAGTTGAGAATATCCAATTCTGTTACATATAACAGAAATGGGATGGTAGACTCATAAAATGTGTTAGATACAGATAAGCAAGTTAGTAACTTGTGAGGCATGTTAAATATAGATAAAGTAAGTAGATAAAGTAAGGGACCTGTGTGTACTGAGAACAGATAGGAAGAAATTGAAGAACTAAGAAACACCTCATTTTCAGGAAGCACTAAGTATACATGGGGCACCAGAGGCACCCAATCTTCATGATACATTAATACACAGGAGCTGTGTGAAGCATTTAATATTCGCAAGGTCTTAAATTAGCCAATCATTGGTGACACACATTCTGGCTCCAAAAATTCTCTGCCAGACAAAACCCACAGCTGCTCATCTGGCCAATTGGTAAGCAACAGCTCCGACCAGGAGTGCACACCCTTGTGTGTCTCCTATGAAACAAGTGCTTGTGTTGGTCCCTGGCACCTTTCATCTCTTGGACCTCTTTGCTCAAATCTCATCTTTGGTTCTTATGGCCACACCATCAGCATGGAAGGCTGAGGGGTCAGGGAGAGGGGTGCCTGTGAGCATTGCATATCCAGATTTTGGGTTGTGTGGTCCTTCCTCCTTGCTTATACTCTTTCCTAAGTATGTTACCTACTCCATCTCTTTCCCTTTGTTTCTTGCTATGTGTTTTAAATTACTTCAACCAATTGTGAAGCTATTAATTGGGTTTCTGTACCTTTCTCACCCCGTACCTCTGCAGTAGCTTGCCTGGTAGTGCACTTAGAGGCTACCATGGCATCAGGGTAATTACCATCATGACTTTGGGGGTAACTCAAAGATTTTCAACCACTCTTCTGAGTGAACTGGGGAGTGAGGCCCGCTAAGGTTTTATTTGCCTGGGTGGTCTGTCCTTTGTCTACTGTGGATTTTCTACCATGCTAGTGTGGGGAGTTGCTGCAAGATTTGCTGCTGCTATGAGTCCCAACTAAGGAGTGAGACACAGCCATTGATTGCTCTCAGACCCCCAAGTTTGTCATAGGGTTCTACCTTATGACTCCTTTGGAACACCCACCAGTGTCTAGCTTTATTCCTCCTCCTCACTCAGTTTAAAGGGTCTATATCTCCTTTGGAAAGTATTTTTTCTAAATCTGTAGATAAAGTCTATGCCTCTAGTCCTTATGGACCTTGTTTTCAAATTCTGATAATCCAGGCTATTGAGACTCAAGCAATTCTTATCTGGCAATATTGTCTCTAGTTTCAAAAGTCTACTTTGAATGTCAATCAATGTCTGTTTGCATTTCCATAATGGCAACCCTTCTTTGATGTCACACACACACACACACACACACACACACACACACACAACCTCTTTGCCACCTGAGTGGAGGGGGATGCATGGGTATAGCTTGATTATTGGAGAAAGAAGAAGCATAAGTTGGCATTTCAAAATGCTGTTCATCCCCATTTGTGAAGGACCACACATAGATATAACTGGGGCTTTAATAAAGAAAGTTCAAGGGATGCCCGAACCCAGGGTCCAGGTGATTTTGCAGGCTGCTCCCTGTCTGCATCTTAGCCCACTCTTATGATTATTTTTATGTAACAGCAAGATGGTCACTGGCAATTCCACAATGACAGAGTCAGTAGAGTGCAGCAGAGTCCAAATGGATTCTATGGCATGCCTCTGGTTCTTAAAACCTTTCTCACCCTCTAATTCTACTTTTAGAGTCTCACAATCTTTGTTCTTCAAGGGAATAAAGATAATACTTATTGATTATGTTCCATATTCTGGGCATCAATTTCCAAGAATTTTCCTTTAAATGTAAATTCCCTCTTTCAGGGAAACCCCTAAAGCCCTCATTATCTAACCCCTAAAATTAACCTATTAGAACTTATTTCCATCTGTCATAGCCAGCTGTGATCACAGCCATGTGAGACTGGAGTTGGGACAGAGGTCCTGGGATGGGCATGAGGGAAGGGGCCTGAGAAGGAAGAAGGGGGCAATGACAAGGGGCATGAGGGGTGGGCTTCCAAATCAAATTTTGCCCACTCCACAAAATTTGTCCCATGGTTGCCCTGAATAAATTGATATGGTAATTAAAATGTCTCTAGATGCATTAAAGCCATCCTGAGAAACAAATCTGTCTTTGCACTAAGGGCAGCTAGCAGTTTGAGTATAAATATAAAAGTAATAAAGCTCACTGCTTTAAAGCAATTCCTTCAATTTAGCTTCTTCTATAATTCCAAATTGTAGAGTTCTGACATTATTTTAGTGCTTAGAATTGTAAAATATTGGTAATCAGATGAGAGAAAAAGTATAGGTCATATAAGCAGGGGGTCTTATGATCTAGAATTTATATTATAAAGAGTGGTCACAAATGATCAATCAGCATGCATACATTAAAATATCCTATCTATACAATGAAATACTACTCAGCAGTAAAAAGGAAAGATTTACTGATAATGCAACCATGTAGATGAATCTCAAAAACTTGGTGAGCAACAGAAGCTAGACACAAAAGAATATGTACTGTATGATTCTGTTTATACAATGTTTTTTAAATTTTTTTATTTATCTTTAGAGGGGAAGGGAAGGAGAGAGAGAGAGAGAGAGAAATATCAATGTATGGTTGCCTCTCCTGTGTCTCCTACTGGGAACTGGCCTGCAACCAAGGCATGTGCCCTGACTAGAAATCGAACTGCGATACTCTGGTTCACAGGCCCGCGCTCAATCCACTGAGCTACACCAGCCAGGCTATACAATGTTTTTGAACAGGCAAAACTCACGTAAGGTGAAAACAGACTGGGCAGTGATTGCCTCAGTAGGGGTGAGGGGCATAAGGGAACTTTCTGGGGGACAGAAATGTACACCTTGATTTGGGTGTTGATTACATAGACATACGCATTTTAGACTCCTTGAATTGCACACTTTAGATATGTGCATTGCAACATTTAAAAATTATACCACAAGAAAAAAATAAACATTTCCTGGTCTTTTGTTGGTCACTCTTACATCAGCACTGACCAACTGCATGTGGCTGGCTGGCTGAGGAAGCTGACAACATAGTCATCGGGTGTAGCACAGCGACGAAAGGGCAAATAACTGCTGTACATTGAAGTGCTATTCACTTAGAGATGCCTACATGTCATGTTATTAATCATTTTATTATGTAATACTTATTCTAAAATACAGATGATATAAGTACATTCTTCCAACACTATTTTGGATGTTTGATTTATCCTGAATATTTTTTTAATGAGAAAAGTACAGACCAAATTAATCTTTACTCCCTTTAAACATGCTAGATTTGAAGACTCCCCAAAGTTTTCAAATGGCTTGCTTGCTTTTCCCTATCCTATCCCCCATGAATTCCTTTTCTTCTAGGAAAAACTGAATTTAAAGAAAAAGCAGTTCAGCTCTGCCCCTGCAGTGTACTTATTTACACCTGTATATTGCTGCCTAACGCACAGTAGTGGAGACTCTTGTCTATCAGTGTATTGACTACTAACGTTCATGAAGATTTTATCAGCCTTCCCTCCACCCACCCCACCTCTTTTATGCACAACACTCTGTGGCTGCCTCTTAGAGGAACCAATATCTCCTGGAGAACCGAGCTGAAATAGTTTTCTTTAAGGCTGCAACAATTTTGAAAAACCTATAGCATACTTTCTCATCCTGAGAGTTCTCCCATTCTTGTTGAGAATAACAATCATGATTATTTTCATTATTCATCTGGTCCCATTTTATTTTTAAATTAAATTAATTTGAGTGACCTTGGTTAATAAGATTATACAGGTTTCAACTATACAATTCTATGATACATGATCTCTATATTGCATTCTCTTCCCGCCACCCAAAGTCAAATCATCTTATATCAACCATATATTTGGCCATTATTTCTTTCCTGAAGTCATAATCCTCTCCTTGGTTGTGATGGAAATGATTATTTTGCCACAAACATAAAATTACCCTAAAGAATAAGGTGTAAAGAATAAGCAGCAAGTCCCCCCTGGCCGCAGGCTGACCCACGGTGCTGTCCCCCATTTTCCCGTGGCCGCCTCCCCCAGGCATGGCCCAGGGCCTCGCCTCACTATGGCAGCAGCACGGCACAGCACAGCATGCTCGACTTCATGCTCGGCACCAAAGATGATGGCAAGACCATTCTTAAAGGCCTCCAGTCTGTTTTCCAGCAGGTCATTCCATCAGGGAATGACCGAGTCCGTGCATACCTGGCAGGACCATGGCTATTTAGCGACCTACATAAACAAGAATGGCAGCTTTGCCAATTTAAGAATTTATCTGCATGGGTTGGTGTTGCTGGACCTTCAGAGTTATGATGGTGATGCTGAAGGCAAATAGGTTGAAAGTCTTTTGAGCAAAGTAGAAGAAAGAATGAAAGAATTGAGTCAGGACAGTACTGGACAGGTGAAGGAGTTACTGCCCATAGTTCGAGGAGGGGCCATTGACAGGTACTGGCCCACTGCTGATGGCTGCCTGGTTGAATACAACGCAGATGAAGTGGTGTATAATGAAGATTCACCGTATCAAAACATTAAAATTCTGCACTCGAAGCAGTTTGGAAATATTCTCATCCTTAGTGGGGATGTCAATCTGGCGGAGAGTGATTTGACATATACCTGGGCCATCACGGGCACTGGCAAAGAAGACTACACTGGCAAAGACATGCTGATTCTGGGAGGTAGAGATGGGGGCATTTTATGTGAAATAGTCAAACTGAAACCAAAGATGGTCACTATGGTAAAGATAGACCAAATGGTGATTGATGGGTGTGAGAAATACATGCAGAAAATGTGTGGTGGCATCTTAGACAATCTTAAAGGAGACTGCTATCAGGTTCTAGTAGAGGACTGTATTCAGTACTGAAGAGGTACGCCAACAAAGGAAGGGAGTTTGATTATGTGATTAATGATTTGAAAGCTGTTCCAATCTCCACATCTCTGGAAGATTTCACATGGGAGTTCCTCAGAGTGATTCTTGACCTCTCCATGAAAGTGCTGAAACAGAATGGGAAATATTTTACACAGGGGAACGGTGACAATTTGATGGAAGCCCTGTCCCTCTATGAAGAACAGCTCAGGCACCTGTATTGTCCTGTGGAATTCTCAAAGGAGGGCGTCTGTGTCCCTTCATACTTGGAACTGTGGGTGTTTCACACCGTGTGGAAGAAAGCTACACCTTGAAGATCAGCTGCCCCTAACCATGTGTGCTTATGAATAGCCTTCCTGACCATCACGTGCTGTACACAACATCCAAACAAGGCAGGCAATTGATTGTGAATCCCTTCCAAGTTTTCTTGTTTAATTATTATTTTTAATTTAAAAAGGCAAATGGAAATACATATTTTGATGAACTAGGCTGTTATTTTTTGAAAATCAACTGAGGGATGGTTAGATAGCATAGCAAAAGGCTGCTCCATGCACTGAACCCCTAGAATGTGATTTTCATTACTTGTTTTTCTCCCCTGTGTAGGCTGTTTTTTGTTGTTGTTGCTTTTGTAGACTTTGAATTTGTTTGTTTGAAAGAATGAACATCACTGCTTTGTTCTGGAGGGGAGTTCCTGATGGTGTTTCTTTCCGCCCAAATTGACTTAGGTGATTAAAATTTGGTGCTTACAAGAAAGTTATAAAATAATTAGAAATGCTTTGACTAAAATTACAAATGAGAAAAAAAAGAATAAGGAGCAAAGGCAAATGAACTCTTGGAAAACCAAAACAAAATAAAAACAACTAATTTCTGCAAAAGCCACATTAAGACTAAAAGATATTAAAACTGTATGAGAAGTTGTCCTGAGTTTTTCATGAAGGATAATTTACCTTGACATCTTCTCAAGTGATTATTAGAGCCATTGATGGAGAATTTATGGTTTGAACACCTTTATGGGGACAAATACCTACATTAGTTAAAGTCTGCCCAAAGTTCTGAACCTAGAGGTTCAAATAACTAATGATTTGATATTAATAATAATCATTTAATTTTTTTCTACCCATTATATACAAAAAATATTCTTGTAACTCTATCTCAAACTCAGCCATTTAAATTCCTGTGCAGTCAAATCAAAACTAATTTTGTTTTACATTTTCTTTTGTTTTCATTACACACATTCTTTTTCATATTTCTGCATCATCTTAATATTTATAATTTTAAAATTATATTTAAGAAACTATCCTGGCTTCTTATAATTGAATAAATATGTTGTATCAGAAGTTTTGCCTTTATGAATAACAATGCTATAAATATCTTGATAGAAAGTCTTAAAAGAAATTATCTAGAAGTAACTCAGAGAAGGTAGGTTTTAGATGGAAGAATATAAGGATTTAACATAGCTCACTGCTCTAGAAATACATTCTAAGTTCTCATGAAATGTTTTTAAAATGGGTGGACCTCATTACATACACTAATTTTATGGTAGGTAGTATGTATGGCTCTTACAAGTAAGGGAAACCAAGACAAGAGGAAGCTCCAAAGAATTTTGGAGAAGAAAGCAAACCCTGTGCAGCGGGTCCTCCCCTTCCCACAGAATCTTTCCGCTCACCGAGCTGCACCGCTTAGCAAGCTCACAAGTCTCGAGAAGGCCCTGAATGAACACATCGTGTTTCTGACTCTGTTTAGTCTATTTAATTTTCGTGTCTTCTCTTCCAAAAACGATTTCAGTCAAATTCTATAGAGACATAAGCTACAATAAAATATTGCCAAGTAAATTTTTAAAAAGAAGATAATCAGGTCAAAGAGAACATATGAGCCAGCAAATAAAGTGACTCCCAAAACATATATATACTTTAGGTCACATGGAGTTGGAAAAGATGTGGTAAAAGTGCCACTGAGCTTCCTTAAGGCCAGAGAAAAGAGGGAATAAAAACCAGCACTTGCTAAGCCAGTTGCCCAAGAGAAAATCTACACTCTGTCATCAAAACTGTGTCTTAAGCCCTGACTGGTATAGCTCAGTTGGTTGGGTGATGTCCCACGAGCCAAGAGGCAAAAGGCTGCTGGCTCGACTCTTGCTCAGGGTACATGCCAGGGTAGTGGCCCAGTTTCTGATTGGGGCACATGTGAGAGATGATGGATCCGCAATCTTTCTCTCCCTCTCTTCTTCCCTCTCTTCCTCTTTCTCTAAAATCTTAAAAACTAACTCTGTGTCTTTTAAAAAAGATTTTATTTATTTTATTTTTAGACAGGGGGAAGGGAGGGAGAAAGAGATAGAGAGGAACATCAATGTGTGGTTGCCTCTCATGGATCCCCTACTGGGCACCTGGCCTGCAACCCACGCATGTGCCCTGACTGGGAATTGAACCAGGGATGCTGTGGTTCCCAGGCAGGTGCCCAATCCACTGAGCCACACCAGCCAGGCCTAACTCTGTGTCTTAAGCCCCTCGACCTCCAAGATGTTGCTAAGTCATACTCTCCTTTTGGCTATGTCGCTTTGAAGCTTCCCTGTTGTGACAAGTGCTGTTGCTGAAACAGCAACAGCTGGTTTTATGAAGTGCTCCCCAAAGCGCCTCACACCTGATGACTGAATCCGGCTGACCGCCACCAGATGAGCAGCAAAACAGGTATCCGAGAGTCTAAAAGTGTTTTATCTCGTCTGCATCTACTTACGAATTCTACTTTTCTAATTAAGGAAGTCATATAAAATACAGCCTTATTGTAGAAAATGGAAAACTTAATAAAGAAGGAAATAAATATCACAATAAATCTACTTCGAATAAGTTTTTAAAGCTTTCAGATGTATTTCTTCCCATAGTTATGGTTTTATATGTATGCATGTATGTATTTTTTGTGTGTGTGTATGAATATAGAAGATCTGTCTGGAAAATGTCCAGCCATTGTTAACATAATGAGAATGGTTTGCATGACATCGATGTAACCTGGCAGCCAGGGAGGGTGGGCTGGAATACAGATGTGTGAACAATGACAACTTCACTGTACTCAATGGGTGGTAGACCCATTGAGTGAGTGTGTGCACTGTGTGACCATCTCATTCAAAATGACTGAGCAAGTAGGGCAATGAATTTGCATCATATTTTTTATTAAGCTTGAACATTTCCCCACAGATACTATCTGGGTGCTTCAGAAGGCCACAGCTATGGGCAACTGATGATTAGCAGCTTCATCATGACAATGTACCCACTCGTGCATCACATCTCATTCAGTTTTTTTGCAAAACATCAAATCACCCAGGTGACTCAGCCCCCCTACAGCTCAGATTTGGTGCCCTGTGACTTCTGCCTTTTCCCTAAACTGAAATCACCTTCAAATGAGGAGAGATTTCAGGAAAAAATGATGGGACAGTTGATGGTGATTGGGAAAACTGTGTGAGGTCCCAAGGTGCCTACTTTGAAGGGGACTGAGGCAGATTGTCCTTTGTACACTTTTTTTTGTATCTTGTGTGTCTTCTTCAATAAATGTCTCTACTTTTCATAGTATATGGCTGGATACTTTTCTGGAAAGCCCTCATATGTGTGTATGTCTACTTACAGCTGTGCAATACACACCCTGGACACTCCAGACAAAGCAAAGGGGAGAGAAGCTAAAAAGGTTCTCTAAGCCCTTTAGTGTAACTGTTGGGGGCTTGGCCTCATCCTGGGTGAAATGGGACTTAGGTAAAGGACTCCAGGTCCCATCACCTGTAGCTCCTATTTTCTAAGACTCATCCTCTGTAACATGGTGCGGTATTCTACATATGGTTCCCACACACTCCTTGTTGGGGTTAACACAATTATATGTGTGTTTTTTATATTGTGGTAAAAATATTTTATCTGTTACATATTCCCCTTGCCACTTCTAATATCTATATATTTTCATATGTTTCTTTTACATCTGGATGCTGTACTAAATTCTCTTTTTACTATGATATTGTTTTTTCTCCAGAGGTTTTCTCAGAATAAAATATTTCCTGAAAATAATGATAGTGTTATTGCCTCCTTGTCAATTGACAAGTCTTAAAAACTCAGTAATATCTAGGGATTGTTTTTCTAAATGTGAATGGTATGGCAACATTCTCTTTCTCATCACTGATTACTGTGAATCATAGTTTTTTCATCTATAATTATTATTTTTATTATCATTTAATATCTATAGTGACCATTAGTGGGATTAAAGAAAAATAAGCCAACAGAAAAGTGAATACAGTTTATCTTTTCTATTAATTCTTACATTTCTAGTCATATCCTTCTTTCTTTCCCCTTTCTAAGATCAGCCTCATAAGTGCTTTACAGGAAGACAGGACCAGCTGGCATGGAGAACAATAAATGTGGGCCCTGGAGACAGCAAAATCTTCCTAAAATGTATAATGTTTTCTAATTTACCACGTATTTTAGTACAATGCGTAGACTTTACTTGCATTTTTGAAATGTAATGCTTACTTTCCTTTAAACATTTTAAATTAAACATGTGTTTTCCTTTACATTAAAGTGATATGTCAGCTGCAAGAAATTAAGGACATTGAAAAGCACAAATAAAAATAATCCAAATTACTCAGAATTGTCATTTCTCAAAATAACATGTTTTTCCTTGGATTTCCCCAGAAGGAGCCTTAGCTAAGGGTTCATGTGTAGGCTGGTTCTTTTGGGAAGTGATCCCAGGGAACAAGAGTGGAGGACTGGAGAGAGTAAAATGCAGAAGGGCAGAAGGGCAATTCAAAGACAAGTTATCAAATTGTTTGCCACTCCGGGCAAATATTGCTCAAGCTCATTGGGTACTGTCTGAGGAGAAAAGACGTATAGAGTGTGCTTTAGATTGTCCGCTCAAGAGATTGAAGAGGTGAGTGCTATTCAGTGGTATGTTGGAGCCTGCTTGTCCCAGCTTGGCACAGCCTATTGTGCTTGTCTTGTCAACTTTGTGGCCAGCCGATCCAGTTGATGGCTTGAAATTGACTGTGGTGGAAGTATTTATATGATGGAAATTGATGAATGTTACAAATCAGGGCTCTTTTTGACCAAGAACTAGATTTGCCAGCATAACTGTTGAAATCTTTATCCATTGGCTCCATCGCCTCTTGGTCAAGAGTCACCTCTTGGGGCATGAACACCCTCTTCTTCCAAATCTGCTCAGGCCCCAGAAGGCTGAGAGGGTTTCTACAGATGACTCACGAAGCTGAGAAAACATTTTCTCCGAGGCAGCAAAGTGCTGTCAGGTTACAACTGCTCACCTGGTTTCACGGCAAGGACTGAAGTCAAAGGCTGAC